ATGTGTGCATGTGTGTGTATGTACAGTATGTATATATTTATATATGTGTGTGTGTGTGTGTGTGTGTAGGGGGGGTGTATGTAGATCATTTTAAAAATATTTGTTTCTCATACTTGATGCAGTGAGCAGCAGTCATGACCCAGTTGGCAGCAATCAGAGATCCTCCACAAGTGTGCCTCCACTCACCATCTTTGTTGTACTGCAGAGAGATCTGGAGACAAAAGAGCAGCAACATAAAGAATGCGTCAGTGAGGAGGATGGGAATGGTAAAGTCTGCTGATTTATCTCTAAAAACCTACATAATTACAGGATTTTCAGCAGCCACTGGGTCTGACATCTAATAACCAGATGGTAAACCATAGGGTTGGAAAGTAAACATAAAAACACTGACAGATGTGTACAGATTAGCATACCTGCCAGGGCCAGCTGTGGGGCTTGGCATCCTCTCCGTTGACCACACGGGAAGTTAGGGGCTCAATGGGTGGGGTGCCGCACCCGAGGGCTGATGGAGAAGCAGTTATAAGTGAGTTTGACCCAAATTTAGCAACACTTTCTATTTGAAAAATATCAAAAAGTGCTTTTTCTTTGAATAATAAAACCTGCAGGAAGAATTATCCACAGAATCAGAGTATATTCCAGATGTTCTTACTGCTTGCAATGAGCACTGAGGCCAGCACGATGGGAATCATGTTGATGTCTGCTGAGGGACAGCAGTACAGCCCCTGGCTTTTAACTTTCCACCGCAGGCAACTCTCACTCTGAAGGTGGCACCACAGTCTCCTACTGGTTAGTGGTGGCCCCCGCAGGGTGTGACTGGACCAATAGTAAAGGTGGTCTGGGGTAGACAAATCACACAGGTGCGCTTTCTGGAACATTTCCCTTGACCTCACTGTAGCGTTAAGATGAACTCTACTTGATAACTGTGTGCTCATGAGTGCACACATACTGTACTGCAGATGGCTCATTTTTTACACAAACAAGTCCATTTCTGTATTTTATGTTATTCTCCATGCCTTCTTCAAAGCCTTCTCGTCAACACCTGGATTACAATGCTTACACAAGAGCATGAGAACCCAACATCTGGATTCCTGCCACTGATGTATTTTTTAGTTCAGTAAATGAAGGATCAGAATTCAACTTTTACTAAACCTATAACAATATGAAGATAAAACACTGATGGTGTCGTTACCAACAGTTACTCTGTCAAACTTTCTGACAACACGTCCGGTTTGTACAATAACCTCTGCGCAGCCAACCAACCTTAACTATAGGATTGATCAAAAAGGAAAATCTGAAGCCCAGTCTTTAAACTGGACAATGTGTCAGCCTTACGGACAGAAACTGGAAGTTGGTTCCACAAGAGAGGAGCCTGATAAATGAGAGATCTTCCTCCCATTCTGCTTTTGGAAACTCTAGGGACCTCGAGTAAGCCTGCAGTCTGAGAGCAAAGTGCTCTGTTAGCAAAATATGGAACAATAAGGTATGTAATATACTTTGTAAGATGGAGCTAGGTTGTTGAGAGCTTTGTAGGTTAGAAGTAAGTGTTTGAATTCAATTCTGGATTTGACAGGGAGCCAATGGAGAGAAGCTAAAACTGGGGAGATATGATCTCTGTTACTAATATCAGTTAAGACTCTGGCAGCAGCAGTTTGGATCAACTGGAGACGTTTTAAAGAAGTATTTGGATACCCAGGGTTAATTAATTATTATTATTATTATTAATTGTTTTTAATTGTTATTAATTAGTAGGGTTAGTTAGTTATTTACTCTCCAGGGTTCCAGTCCTTCTCAGATGAGTTGCATCAAACTGTTGATTTCACTTTCTGTAAATAAACACTGTTAATTATTCTCTGGTCATGGTGTTGCTCTTTTTGGTCACTTGTTACTTGGGTTTTGAGTAAATCCTTACACTTTGTTCCTTACGTTCTGCAGGTTGGAAGGGCAACAGAAGATTTTAATTCAATTGAATTCAATTCAAAAATACTTTATTAATCACAAAGGGAAATTAGCTCATCATCCTGGTTTCATTCATGAGTTGTTATAGATGCTGATAGCTGTGGGCAGGAAGGATCTCCTGCAGCAAATACGAAGAATCTGGCCACAGATACCAGTCCATCCACCCGGATCCAGTTTGCTGTCAGATCCGGCGGACCTCTCAGTCCTCATGGGCAGCAGGACTGCTCGAACGCTGGGCAGAATTCCTCCCTGAGCAATGGTCACTCCTCCCAACAGTCTGCTGAGCTCCTCGTTGCCACGGACAGACAGCTGAAGGTGCTGGGAGATGATCCTCCCCTTGTCACGAGCTGAGCTTCCCACTAACTCCAGGAGCGACCAAAAAAAAAAAAAAGCCACAATGGAGACAAGCAGTGCAGGTGAAGGGAGAGGGGCAGGATGGACTCAAGGGGTGTGTATTTCCTCATAGGGCTGGAGATCATTGGTGGAACATCCAGATGTCAACGAGAGATTACCAGGAGGTGAACCTTAGGAGAAGTATCCGGACAACACTTAACACTGGAATTGTTCTAGATGTATTTTTTGTTTGTTTTTTTGTTAATCCTTCATTGGTAAATGGTAAATGGTCTATACTTACAGTATATAGCGCCTTTCTATCTTATCAAGATACTCAAAGCACTTTACACTACAATCTGTGTCCTCATATACCCATTCATACAGCACTCTACTAGATCTGTACAAAGACTAATCAGTGCCTTATCACATTCATACACCGATGGGACACACATCGGAGGCAATGAGGGGTTCAGTGTCTTGCCCAGGGACACTTCAACAAGTGACTGCTGGTGAAATTGAACCCCCAAATCTTACATTGTAGGACAACTGATCTAACCATTCAGTCACAGCCGCCCCTATTGGTTTAATGTTTTTTCAGCTTGCGTTTCATTTTTATTCACCTCTTTATTAAAGCTCAAGTGATCGTTTGCTTTGCCATACTTCCAACATGTGTCTTAGATTTCAAAGATGATTAAGGGTTTTCCCATTTTGTCAGAATGGATTCAAATCTCAGAGGGTGGCATGTGATGGGAATATATTATTTATTGATCTGCTTCCTGATACATTCTATAATATTTTGTCATATTAATAACCTTTATGATTATTTTATTACTTTAAGGTCATTGTGGATATTACACTGGTTTGAATTTTTGATATAATAATTTTTGATGTGACTTTCTGTAGGAAGATGGCGGGTTCATCAACTTCTTTATTTTTGTTACATGCGATTTGTTCTCTGGAAATCCTTGAGAAAAGTTTACCTCCAGTGACTTCTCTGTTTCTTAACTCACACAGCTGTGGTTTGATAACACTGGAGCTGGGACACAGAGGAGGGTTGATGAGGATGGAGGAGATTCCTACAAAACGAACCGACCATCTTTTATCCTGTTAGAATGGGTCAGAACCTCAGACAGGACACAACATGAATACGTTCTGTATTTACTCTGTGGGTCCGGCTGTTCTCCGGAACATTGTAATAAATTTGATGAAATCTACACGTGATTGTTTGTAAATCAGTTTCTAAGACAGAGTCTGACATTTAAAGTTATAAAAGTAAACACACATTGAAACATTCCTCACCAGTTACACCAGTTAGCCACTCAAGGTTTTAAAAGAAACTGTGAATATTTAAAGCAGAAAAACATAATTTTTAAAGTCAGGATTAGTGATGAATAAATCACCCAGCCCCAATTACTGTGATAAAAAGAAATCATCATTCGCTCGTAAAGGTACTTTATATTTCGGCCAAATACTTCCCTTTTTCCTCTCTCTCTTATTGATTAATTGGAGGCTGATGGAGAAGTCTGTTGTTAGTTTTAACCAAGTGGAAGTTTTGTTTACAGTAATTGTTCTTCATTTAAAAACCAAACAACTATATTAAAAAACAATTTAAAGAAGCAATGGAGAAGAAAAAAAAATCGCAAAAACAATTTATCTTATTTTTAATTGATATCCTGTAATAATTCATCAAAAAGTAAAAAAAAAAGGCTTACACTATAAATATTGTGTTGTTGTTTTTTTCAAATTCTATGCTGTACAATTTTTTCATTACAGTAAAATTTTCCCATATCCCCCAGAAATCCACTGAATATATATATTTTTTTCCTGCAATGTATGGCATAGCATAAAATGTTTATAAAACTCTGGGTCAGTCCAAGTGGGGCCAAGAACAATGTGAACTGCTGCCATCTGAGACTAACCTGTATAAATAAAGGTTGAATGAATGAATGAATGAATTAATCTTAAAACAATTAATCTATCACGGTTCATGTCAGTTCTCTTTTAGACACATTTGCACATTTGTCAATTTGTCATTATCTGGCTATTGACAAGGATTTTATTGGTATTTGTGAGAGCAAATAGTAGCAGTAGCAGCTAGCTGTGGCTTTTCTAGAAACACTTCGTATGTAATATCAAAATATTCATGCCTAAATGTGTGCAATGCAAATGTTACAACAATCTAAATAGTTACAAGATTGTATTTATAATATTTCTGCGATCTGATTTTTTTTAAGGAGGCAGAGATCCTCTTCCTCCTGGTTCTGCTGTTACAGTGGGTACGGAAAGTATTCCCTTTAAGTTTTTCACTCTTTGTTTCATTGCAGCCTTTTGCTAAAATCAAAAAAAGTTAATTTTATTTCTCATTAATGTACATTCAGCACCCCATCCTGACATAAAAAAAAACAGAAATGTAGAATTTTTTGCAAATTTATTAAAAAAGAAAAACTGAAATATCACATGCTCATTCAGACCCTTTGCTGTGACACTCATATTTAACTCACATGCTGTCCATTTCCTTCTGATCCTACTTGAGATGTTTCTACTCCTTTACTGGAGTCCAGCTGTGTTTAATTAAACTGTTTGGACTTGATTAGGAAAGGCACACACCTGTCTATATAAGACCTCACAGTTCAAAGTGCAAGTCAGAGCAAATGAGAATCATGAGGTCAAAGGAACTGCCCAAGGGGCTCAGAGACAGAATTGTGGCAAGGCACAGATCTGGCCAAGGTTACCAAATAATTTCTGCAGCACTCAAGGTTCCTAAGAGCACAGTGGCCTCCATAATCCTTAAATGAAAAAAGTCTGTCCAGCCAAACTGAGCAATCCTGGGCGAAGAGCCTTGGAGAGAGGTAAAGAAGAACCCAAAGATCACTGTGGCTGCGCTCTAGAGATGCAGTAGAGAGATGGGAGAAAGTTCCACAAAGTCAACTATCACTACAGCCCTCCACCAGTTGGGGCTTTATGGCAGAGTGACCCAACGGAAGCCTCTCCTCTGTGCAAGACATATGAAAGCCCGCATAGAGTTTGCTAAAAAACACATAAAGGACTCCCAGACTATGAGAAATAAGATTCTCTGGTCTGATGAGACGAAGATGGAACTTTTTGGCGTTAATTCTAAGTGGTATGTGTGGAGAAAACCAGGCACTGCTCATTACCTGCCCAGTATAATCCCAACAGTGAAACATGGTGGTGGCAGCATAATGCTATGGGGGTGTTTTTCAGCTGCAGGGACAGGACGACTGGTTGCAATTGAAGGAAAGATGAATGCGGCCAAGTACAGAGATATCCTGGAAGAAAACCTCTTCCAGAGTGCTCTGGACCTCAGACTGGGCCGAAGGTTCACCTTCCAACAAGACAATGACCCTAAGCACGCAGCTAAAATTACAAAGGAGTGGCTTTGGAACAACTGTGTGACCATTCTTGACTGGCCCAGCCAGAGCCCTGACCTAAACCCAATTGAGCATCTCTGGAGAGCCCTGAAAATGGCTGTCCACCAACGTTCACCATCCAACCTGACGGAACTGGAGAGGATCTGCACGGAAGAATGGCAGAGGATCCCCAAATCCAGGTGTGACAAACTTGTTGCATCATTCCCAAGAAGACTCACTAACTCAAAAGGGTGCTTCTACTCAATACTGAGCAAAGGGTCTGAATACTTATGACCATGTGATATTTCAGTTTTTCTTTTTTAATAAATTTGCACAAATTTCTACATTTCTGTTTTTTATGTCAAGATGGGTGCTGAGTGTACATTAATGAGAAACAAAATGAGCTTTTTTGGTTTTAGCAAAAGGCTTGAATAAAACAAAGAGTGAAACATTTAAAGGGGTCTGAATACTTTCCATACCCACTGTATCTCTTTATTTTGCTCAGAACTAAACTCTGTTTCTCCAAACTGAGTTGGTGAGCTATCTGCAACAGCTAAGATATTACTTTTTTTAACATTTCCATAGAGCCCCTCATGGAAAGATCTGAAAGACGGCTTTAAGTTTGCACATATTTTTATTTCTTCCTTATTTTAAAAAAAAAATCATAAACACAACTCAAATGTCTTCAGACTGGACTCCTTCTTTAAGGGTTGGTCATGTTCCCAGTTCACCAGTAGATGGGACACTTCATCTGCTCTGATACCAGACTGAAATGATCATTTTCGAAGCAGGGAAAAAAGTTGAGTCTGTGCTCTCTTTGATTATATTTATTTTTATATAATAATAATAATAATAAAAATTCTAGCTTTGCAAAACAAGTAATTTGAAAAATCATCCTTTGAACAAACCTGGTTGCAGTGATAGAAAACCAAGTTTGGGCAAAAACTTTGGTTCTTAACATGATGGCGAGAGGCCATCCTGCGTCACAGAGAATACTTTCACAGTGAAGGTGCAAAATTTACAACAGCTAAATCTGTTTAGAAAGGTCTTTTTTTTGTAGAGCCAAACGTTCACAGACTGAAGCGAATCCTCTGCAGGATGAAACCCTCCAGAGAGGCAACAATAAAACACGCTGCCATCGCCTTCTTGTGTGCATGTTTGCTTGTGTGCATTTCTGTGCTCAGCTTCACATGCAATTAACTGCAAATCTAATTAAGATATCTGCCAAACTTATTACTGGCCAGTGACCCCCCCCCCCCCACACACACACACACACACCTCTTCTCATTTTCTGGTTAAACCTCTTGTATTCATTAATTTCATACTGACACAAGATAATGAAGCACGATACTTGTTGAACTGATATTAGCACACTGAGCAGGAGAGAAAAACATGGACACAACACATTAAGTTAATGATCATGCAGCTTTGGAGCAAAACTGTATCAACTTGACCCGAACAGCCTTTGAAAACATCAGATCTCCAAAATCTGCTCCTTTTCACTGAAATATGTTTGTGCGAGAGGCAGTCTGTCATGTTCTCATAGCTGAGGGAAGCAAAACTACTCGTCTACTGAACAACCCCCCACCTCCTCTCAGTGGAGCTGTAAGAGTTGCACTTCAGACTGTTTTCCCTACCAGAACAGCAGCTGAACTCTGAATGACACGGCGCTTTATGGTTAGTTTATATCATGTTGAAGCAGTAAACACTGTACTGGTCATTGCCATTTTCTGCACAGAGCATAGAGGAGGCAGATTTTGTAACGTGTATAAATATTATTGTGGCGTGCCTGTGTTACTGGCTGCTTACAGCTGTGTGGGCTTAACCCATATCCCCTGCATGCCTCCACCACTGGTGTTCCTCTGCAGATATGATGCTCAGATTGTTCTCAGCTCTCTAATGTCCTTAATATTAGGTTGCTGTTTGAAAACATACAGCTACATTTTATTTACTACTGGTCTAATGTTTTAAGGCAGAGGGGGAAATAGATCCATCACTTGTCTGTTGCTGATTTGCCTTTTATTCTTAACACAAGTCTCGCTTTACTTTCTGTTTATTTTCTTTTTATTGCTTGCATATGTCTTTATCTAATTTTTCAGCCAAATTCAGTGAAACGCCAGGTTGAATACAACTAATTTAATTAAGTATTCAAAGCACATCATGACTCAATTGGTCTTTTTTCAGGTCATGTGCACTTACAAGGTTCTTGTTTTATTCTCATCCTGGGAGAAAGTACCAAAGGAGGATCATCAGACTTGCTGCTTGTTATTAGAATGTTTTAGGAGTTTAAACAGCTGTAATATGTTAGTCTTAAACTGTATTTAGAGCTTTTTGAAAACCAGACACATTTACTAAACCATTTATATCCTTTTGAGGACTACATCATGTTTTTTCAATCTGTTTTGTTCAGCTTAGACCATGAAACACATTCATATCAAACTAAGACACATGTGCAGACTAATTTATGAGCAATTAACACAAAGTGCCATTAAAAATGTCCCATTACCTCTTTTATTTATACACAGATTTAACTGCAGATACAACATTCTGCAGCAATCACTCATCACTTCACCTGGTTAATGAATTTCAGGCTACATAAAGCTGAGGCTGGTGTCAAAGATTATCATCACTGCATGTTGCAATATTTTTCCTAAACATTGTTTTCGTAGCTAAATAGATCCAATAGCAGTTCACAGGAAAGTCTGGAAACCTTTGTCTCCATTGAGCTACAAGTTTAGCTATTGACATTTTATACAAGCATTATACTGGTTCAGACTGCATGGACAAAATTATATAAACATCTAAAGTGTAAAGGTCATTTCTAGAGATGGCAGCAGGTCAGTACTGACTTTAAAGGAACTAATGTCTAATTTTTACACAATAACTTTTATAAATTTAAGCTTTTTGTTTATGAGAGTCAGCTTCAATGATTAATTGAAATTAATCTTTTTCTCTTCTTTCGGCTGCTCCTTTCCTCTGAGGTCGCAACAGCGAACTAACTCGCACAAAGATTTGGCGCTTGTTTTTATACCGGATGCCCTTCCTAGTGCAACCACAGACCATCGAGCTACCACAACCCTAGCAGAGAGATGCTGTTTAGGGGGTGGGGGTTAAGGGCCTTGCTCAAGGGCCCAGAGTGGGGCAAATCAGGGTCAGCTCAGGTGTAGGTGCTTCATCTTTCCCACATTTTTTATATTGTTAGTCTGGGGAGTCAAACCGGTGATCTTCTGATCTCAGGCTCACCTTCTGTAACCTCTGCATCCCCAGTCGTCCGATTAATTGAAATTATAATCCTAAAATAAAAAAAAATTTAAAAAAAAATACAAATTTCATAGCAACTTATCCTGTTATTGGCTCAATGCTGCACTTTTTTCTACTATAGTGTTGTTTAGTGCTCTGACTCACTTACCTGAGTTCAAAGGTTATCTTTCCAGCTTTCACAAGTCCTGCATACTTTTTTGATTAAACTCACAGTACGAGCAGCCATGTCCACAACTGCTGAGCCTCAGAAACACAGCCGTGAGTAATTTTTTTTAATGATATGTAAAAAGAGATCATGCACATGCTTAGATGCATTTCTAAAGAAGAACATGGAAAAAAGCTAAATGATGCATGAAAGTCTAAATATAGATGCAAATTCTTCAAAGGTACATAGCTGGTATTAGTTTTAAAAACAGGTTTTGATTTATATCATTACATGAGATGAAACTGCATAATGGCTTCAAGCTGATTTGGCTTGCTTGGCTGACTGAATCAGGCATAAAAAATTAAAGAACAGAGATTCACTGCCCTGCTTTTTGTGTGCATACGAAACCAAAGCAAACAGTTTAAAGGCATCAAAACTTTTTCATTTATACACAAAACAAATATCAGTGCACACAGAGACTCTCCAGCAAGACACATAGGTATTTTATTGCATTTCTAGAAGCTCTGAAAATCAGCGCTGCAGTTGCAATCAGACATGCTGGCATTCTCCATTATTGCTGTTTCGTGAACTCCTGTCGAATCAGAGCTGGTGAAAGAATTTGCACAATGTCTCATTAACGGCTTTTAGTCATTATTGGTTGTTCACTGAAAAGAGTTTCTGACAAGTCCCTAACGGTTAAAATGAAGAGAACAGAGTTGAAAAGATGTACTGGGCAGAAAAAAAGATATGCTAAAATTATAATGGTGCAAATGGAAAACAGCTCCTTACATAAAGTAATGCTGAAACTGTGATTCACCATAAGTAAATTATAAAATAAATATTTCTGATTTTTATTTTTATTCTCTGAAGTTGTAAATTTTACTGCCATTTGCAAAAGACTCGGTTTTGACCACATCAGAAGCATCATCCAGCACGCTTTCAGGCATCATCTGAAATGCTGCAGTAATCACATTCAAAACTCAAGTCAACATTTAATAAGACCGTTAAAGCCTGCAGTGGTTATCTCTCTGCTGCACATTCTCATTTTTATTGTCTTTTTTTTTCTTTACCTGTGTCAGGAGATTGAACAAGCCCCTGATTTGTTGCAATATCATTTACAAAATTTGAAAAACTGACAATCTAACCTGAGCTCAGCATGAGAGTTTGCTTTGGACCTCAGCAGCAGTTTGCGTTTGCTAATAACATAACGCTCGTACATATTTCAGAGCAACAATGTTGGAGTGAGGTATAAAGTCATCAACATAAGTTGAAAACTAAAAAAAAAAAAAAAAAAAAAAACAGGACATGGTGCGTATGTGATTCTTGGATAATGCAATAGTCAATGAGTTTACATGAGCGGGGACAATGATAAAAGCTTTTGTCCAACAACAGAACAGACAGTGTTTTGTAGAAACCCTTATTTAATAAAAATAGTTATACTATACGTACATAATAAAGCCCAATTCTTTAAGGAATTAATAGGTTTAAGCTTTAATGGCCTTTAATGCCAATGTTTTAGACCACGATTATGGGATGTCTAGGTTTGCCTGTCATAATCACTTACCCCTCAGCTGACATTGATCCACTCAAGTCACCATTCCACACCTGCACCTGATCCTACCCTGCACAGTACTTAAGGACTTGGCAGTGATTTGTCCGATGCTGAAACAATAAGATACCTTATGGTCAATTCGACAGCCAGTAAGCACACACTGCATGGCCCCCAAAAAAGTTGCCACCTGGATTTAACTTAGCAAATAGGTACGAGCCTCCTATTGGATAATTACTGCATGGGTGATTATCTTTCAGCTGGCAACAAGTTATTTAACCCCAACTGGTGCAATGAGTTGCTTCTCATTTCTTAAACAACCATGTCGAAAGACACATCGCGGGGTCATGGAAAAGATAACAGTCTGTTTGAGAAGGGTCAAATCAATGGCATGTATCAAGCAGAGAAAACATCTAAGGAGATTGTAGAAACTACTAAAACTGGGTTAAGAACTGTCCAACGCATTATTAAAAATTGGAAGGATTGTGGAACCCGGCCGAAAAAAAAAAATCCTGAATGATCGTGATCAGTGATCACTTTGGTGATCAGTTTGGTGAAATCAAATTGAAGAAAAACAACAATAGCACTCATGACTATGTTTAATAGTGAAAGTAAGAACATTTCCACATACACAATGTGAAGGGAACTCACGGGATTGGGACTGAACAGCTGTGCAGCCTTAAGAAAACCACTAATCAGTGAGGCTAACCAGAAAAAAAGGCTTCAATTTGCTAGGGAGCATAAAGATTGGACTCTGGAGCAATGGAAAAAGGTCATGTGGTCTGAGTCAAGATTTACCCTCTTCCTGAGAGATGGGCACATCGGGGTAAGAAGAGAGGCAGGTGAAGTGATGCACCATCATGCCTAGTGCCTAGTCATCAATGTAAGATCTTGGTGAAAATTAATGCAACACTGGATGGAAATCTAGATCTTGTGACATTGCAGAAGCTTATCGAAACAATGCCACAGCAAATGCATTCTGTAATCAAAGCTAAAGGCGGTCCAACAAAATATTAGTGTCTGACCTTTTTTTTTTTTGGTGGCAACTTTTTTTTGGCCAGGCAGTGTATCTCTTCCTGAGAATACTAACCTTCTGAATTTGCCCCTTGTGTTTTCAACCCTTGTTCCTCCGTGTCCTGCCAAGTCCTCTCAGCCTCCTGTGGTCTCGCCAGTCAACGTCTCTGCTCCACCAAAATAAATTTCTGTCTGGATCAACTTCATACCTCTATTGCCCTGTCACTCTCTTCAATACTACTTACCTCTTGGATAAAACAAACTACCACTGCTAGGAACCACTGAATCTCTCCTCTCACTGCCTGCAAACAATCAAATTACAGTAAGACTTCTCTAACTAAGAAAGTTTACAAATCATTGATCCTCACATCTTGCCAATATTCACCTCTACCTTGTTTACCTTTCAGCAACAATTACCTTTTTCACTTGTAAATGAAAACATGTATTTTCTACATTTGAGTCCTTGTCATCAATCTGTTATTTTTGGGTCCTTACTACCAAACATCATGTTAGAATGTTCCAGCCAACCTGATCTGTAGAGCGAGATTGGTGATGAGCAGATTTATCATGCAGTTCACACAAAAAATAAATAGATAGTCATGATCACACACTGAAACAAATTTTGTCCCAACAGTAGACTTCTCAAACCAAACTCCTGGAGTTTGAGAGTATGGTCTACTCCATCAAGCAGAAACTTCTCACACTCCTACCCTCCGCTAAGGTCCATTCTCTTTCTCGTCAAACCGAACCCACCCCTGTGGTCAATGTAAAGTCTCAAGCATACTTAAGCATACTTCAGTCCGAAGAGGTCTGCGTATACAGAGTAGACTCGAAGTGGACGCATGTCCGTACAAAGCTCAATTTTTACGACCGCATGCACATACTCGGTGTCGCACAATAAACTGCCCAGCGACGGACTGTTTTGTATGCGACACCAATGTACAAAGTATTAAATTCCCCTTCGTTGTCCGTGGTCTGGTTTAACTGCCCTTTCTTTTTTTTGCCAAGAAACAAGCGATCTCTTCCTCCTCGTCCGTTGACACCATGACTAGAACAGTGAGAAATGAAGGACTTTGTCACGAGCCAATTAAAATCAGGCTCAGCGTGGTTGCGGGTGTCATGATCAGTGGCTCCCGCTGGCCCCCATCTGCTCACTTCCCTGCCCCTTCATGACATGCCATGTTTTATGCCCCTCTCCTTCATGTTTTTTTAATTCCTCAGCTCCTGCCATTGTTCACATCAGCTCCTGTCAATCTACACTTCAAGTCTGCTCATGTCAATTCTCTGTCACCACGCCCCCTCAGCTGATTCATCACAATCAACCTTCATGCCTCGCACCTGTTCTCTCCACTACTTAAACTCCATGCCCACACTCATTTGGTGTGAGATCATTAAACCTCTCATGGTCCCTGATTCTCAAGCCATTCATAGTTTCACGTCTGAACCTCAAGCTGTGTGTTTAGAACTACAAAGTACAACCTGATGCTTGCCTTTTGGATTTATCTCTCTGCCTGCCACTCGTCTGGTTTTGCTCTGCCCTTATAACCCTGGTACGACAACTTTTTCTGGTCCTTTGACTCTGGATTTTGGATTACCCCTTGAATCTGTTTAAAGAACTCTGACTCCCCATGCTTGACCCCTGCCTTGCCTTCTGGATCACGACCCTACCTCTTCTGAATCCTCTCCCTTGCTGCAGCTGCAATTATAAAAAAAACTGTTTTCATTTTTTTTACTCTTGTGTCTTGTCAATCTGAATCCAAAAGCCTGGTTTGTGACAGCGGGAGGGTCTGGAGATTTCCTGGTGGGCCGGTCTGATGTGTGAGCTGCAGGGCCAGCACTCCCTGTTTTTTTTTTTTTTTAATTAGAACTTTTATTAACAATATATAAACATAGAACACCGCTTTGGCTGGGGCTGCCAGCTCTCGTTTGTTTTTTTCCGACCTGTCAATCAATCCAGTAGGCGTCTTCAGCAAATGACTAATCGGCAAACTAAATTTGTCCAGAAGGCCAAAAAGCTGTTATTACAACAAGGTAAAACACTGTATCTGACTTCACCATCCACTTCTGCACCATCACTGGAGTCTAAATGGGAAGAAAAGGCTCTTAAAGGAGTTTTTATCAATGCATTAAATGACCAAGTAAAAGATCAGCTGACTACCAGAGAGTTCCTTTGGAACTGGATGGACTGATTGACCTAGCCATTTGTACTGACAACTGCCTGAAATAATGCAACATTGAAAGAAACCCCAAGTCCCATTAGTACTCGACTTCCAGGTCTAGAATTCTCCCGCTACCTATAACACCCAATGAACCTGAACCAATGTAGATCAGATGGACAAAATTAATACCTGAAGAGAGACAATGCTGAATCATTGCTAGAGAATGCATCTACTGCGATAAGAGCGTTCATTTTCTTGCATCATGCCAGGCCCATTTAAATGGGACACCCCACCCTTAGGCCAGGAGATATTGGTGGGCTATTCAGTTAATTCTCCTGAGAGAAATTTGTGTTTAAAGAATTAATTTCCCTCTTTATGACTCAAGTGGATT